CAGATCACGTCGGGCTCACCAGTGATGATGTCACAGGTATTCAGTGTTTGACAACGCTTCTACCAGTAACACGTTCTAATATATTTCGTTCCCGCCCAGAGAAATAAAAAGACAGAGTCGAGGAGATCGGAAGAGTATATTTGGCGATGACCAATATATCGAAATTCTCTGATCTAATCTGGCTAGCGATTGCGATTGATGTTGAGCACGGCGTTACCACACGTGATCTGGTGCGGATGCATGACCGAGCGCCTTCAGCTAGATGAGTCCACTAAAACATATGGTCAGCATCCAATGTCGAAAACTTAGTGCTATTTATTTTGGGGATTTATTTACCGCTACACCACTCTTGATCTTGTGCGGATGAGTGACCGAGTGTCTTCGGCGTAGTGAGTCCATTAGGACTAGTGTGGTCAGCATCAAATGTCGGATACTTACAGAGCTATTGATTTCGGGGATTTATTTACCCCCACAACATTATTCTATCATACTCTAGTTAACAGTGGAGTTGCGAGGATTTTTAAGTCTCCGAATATACGCAAACGTGAGTGAACCTGAGCAATCCGATGCATCTGCAGCTTAAATAACTTTAACCCAAGGGGCAGGCATTCCTTCGTCCTCACATAGTTTTATGACCCACATTTGGCACTAGTTGTTAAGTGAACATACTCAAGGTCAGTCTGGCGTCGCTCAAAGGTCGTCCATAAGTTGTGGTCTCACTGCCTGTGATGCTTTCTTGTAGCCTTGTTGATGTCACAGTTACCAGCCCAAGCTTTGTTGATATGGAAATGTTCTACTTATGGGTACATGGATGAACTAGTAAGTATACCGCCAAGAGCTATTTATTTTGGGGATTTATTTACCGCTACAGGTGCTTTAGTGTCCTTATATGCAAGCATGGTTGCTTTTGCGACAAGTTCTTTAATTGTGGAGAATGCTTTTCGAGCGATATCTTTCAAATTGATGGATTTGGCATTTCCACGAAGTTGGTCAGTTAGTGGTTTCATAAGTGACACGCAGTTTAGCATGAACGTCTATAGCAATTTACAAGGCCGTTAAACGTGCGTAATTGCTTGACGGTGGTAGGTTCTGGGTAATCCAGAATGGCCGCCACTTTGGTTCTAAGGTGTCGAATTCCTTGAGCATCCATAGTGTTTCCAAGAAAGTCTAGTGAGTCGGTTCCAACTTGGCATCTCTGAATGTTTACAGTAATTCCATGTTTTTCTAGTCCGTCGAAAACAAGATCCAGATGCTTGAGATGTGATTCTCTGTCCGGACTTGCTATTAGGTAGTCGTCAACATACGCATAAAGTCCAAAGAGAGTAATGATAGCTGTTTTCGGTTGCTTTGCAATAGGGATCTTTATTATTTTGATGCTTTTGATAATCACACATTAACTCACTTCAAAAACGATTGTATTTTTCCACTGATGCTTTCTGCGACTTTGTTGTTGACATTAGCAGTATCAAGTCCGTCGTTTCTGTTGGAAAGTTGAAGTCATTAAGAACTCTAAATATAATACGATCAGTAGTGTACATTTACTTCCACTTGCTATAGATTGCAATGTTTCGTGGATTCACATCTATCACAATAATCCAAATACTTCTAACCATCATAAAATTAAATATTGTTTATTCCGCCTTACTTGGGAACTATCTATCCACACACTTTAACTTCATTTCACACATCAGTAAATTGAGTCTATTGTGTAGGATTTTGTCACAAATTACATTAAAGTCGATGAAAGAGCCTGTAATAATCATTAAACCATGATGAATAACCTAATGTTATTGCAGTTTTCATGTTGATGTCTCATACATGTTTTGAAGATAGAACTTACTAACGCGCTACTCCAACCACTTAGTATTATGCAATGGATCCCAGATTTATTAGATCCATTAAGGCGTTCTCAAGTCAATTTACTAACCTGGAATGCATTTTATTGGGTTTCATATTGAATTTATCTACTGAACAAACCGATATGTGAAATGAGGGAAATTATGGATGGAACTATGCGTTAAAATCAGTGGAAATAACATAAATCATTCACACCCACGTCTATAGATACATACTTCATGTACTACTATTACGCTCACCAGATACTTTTTTCTTTCATCAACTCATTTGTTTCTCATTGTGGAAAGGTATCGATAAGTCAGGTGGTATTATATGAAAAGAGCTCCGCTTCTATGCCTTTCGTACATCATGAGAGTTGTCTTAATTCCCAATATCAGAAAGTAATCGTTAAGACATTCATACATCTCAATCAGTACTCGTACACCCAAATATAGACAGCCAAATAATTTTAGTATTACACGTGTTACCATATAGATGCATATTAATACCTAGTTCTGTGTGCCCAATTTGTACTGTCGGCAGTTTTCGGTTAGCAAAGAAATTAAACGTAGGAGCTATATTTAAATTACTACGGTAAAATAGAAATAATTTACAAAACAAAAGATTGGTTTCACAGGATATTTAACAGATATAACAAATTAAGCGACCGACCCGGTTACAGATGAAATCGTAGAGGTCGGAACAGAGGAATCGATACATACAATTTTACCATTACTACGAAAATATATCTGGAATGTTTACAAACTTTCGTTTGTAGGTAGTTTACAGCATTTGTACACGCAAATGTATTCGAAATTAGACAGATTCTTAAGATAGTCATGAAAAAGTTATTAACAAGCGATAATCTAAACAGCAAATATCAACAGTTATTAAAAAGAATGACTCAACAAGTGATATGAGAACAATGGAAATACAAAATTAGGATACATTACAAATCAACAAAAGTTCAATGAACGCGTGAAAATAGAACCGTTACAAACATTAGGAAGTTACAATCATAGTAATAATCAAACTGAATACTAAAATTTTATTCATATACATAGAAGAGAAGAAATTTCATGCTGTGCTCAAAATAACTGACAATAGAATCAGGAGCCGAATATCAATGAGTATAATAAATAGGGATGAAATGTGGATGAGAATCATGAAAGAACTTGAATCCACCTGCACAAAAACACCATGCTTTTCCTTATTCTAACAACTTGACTGATATTACATGACAGCACTCGACAACAAAAACGGCAGAATCTACCTGTGCCATGACCGCACCAACGAACATACACTGGAGAACTAATTAAGTGGCTTTTATGCACTGATGCATTTTTGCGACTGAACTAGTGACTGGAAAAGTTTACCAATCGATTCAGATACAACATTGATTGAAACAGTATTGAGTACTCTTCTAATCAACCATGACTAAAAGCAAATTATAATGCTTGCTTATCATATAAGGCTAGACAACTTCCGGAAGTCAGTAACTAAATTTCAAACAGCATTTAGATCTGAAGTTACTCAGCTACAGGACTTTAAAGTCTTCTTCTTGAAATATAACATAATTGTCATTAATAAGCATGTATCTAAACGGTGCTTTATAGGCCAAAATTATTGTTTCGTTTGATTCCTGTCTCTCTAACCAATAATAAGATCACCAAGTAAACCAGGTTTCAAATGTACACAACTCAAGGAACGTGACCACACCACTTCTAAGCATCGTGAAAATTTGCTCGACTGAACCATCATTGTCAGACATTGCTCTCTTCCGAGCGAATTTCGTCATCGTTACATGTTTATTAAAGCGATAAGACAGAAGGCTACTGTCATATACGAAAAAAATAGTGTATGGGTAACTTACAGGAACTATTTACAGACTCTTATTATATATGCATCCCTATTGCACAACTGTTAAGTAACTAGACTACATATATTTACATTTCTTTTGTCATAAACTTCTATTTGACCTGTTTACTACTATTGTACGATTTACTATTCCTAAATCGTTCCAAATTTATTAGTTACAACCACTTCTTAACTTGGTCCTGTATAATGGTTTTTTGTTTTATGGCAAGACGTGGCTAGGTTCACATGTACATAAACCATGTGCGTCTGAAATATATTATTCATAGAGTGGAGGCTGAGATTACTTTCTGGACTCAACGGACAATGCTAGGCAAGAAGGACCAACAGGAGTTCAGAGTTGACACAATTCTGCTAGTGCCGTTTTGACATGTCATTGGTTTAGCATAAGAACAAGGTAATATAAGTCAGTGTTCGGATTGGCGATTTTGTCACATGGTAATTAACAGAACGAAAGTCATAACAGAATTCACATACTCTAACATTTGTTTGAAAAAAATGGTGTATAAAAGACTAACTAGGTTGTGTTTGGTTGGTGATATATCGTCCAAGTACGTTTGCCCATCAAACAGATCCGACTATTAGATTAACCTGTGTATTCATGAATTCCATAGGACTGATAGGATGTATCATTGGTGAAACATCCTACCCTACAAATCTGTCAGACTGCAATCGATTTACACAGACTTGAATTATGGATACAGTATGGAGGTTGAGTTAGTTTGAGGGCACTTACATACGTGTTACGTGTTATTTGAGTATCTTCGAAACCGTCATTCCTCACTCTGGAGTGAATGTTGGTTGCTCATAATCAATCTGAGTAACGTGTACGCGTGTTACTGACACTTTATCAAAATCACTTGTACTGTATCTTTATTGTTTTCCTTCATGTAAGATAAAGTAAAGTCCAGTTTAATAATGACTCTAGATTCCTCGTACTGGTCAACACGCCATTGGTTTAGCAGAGTACTAAGATTGTATGAATCGTGTTCTGATTGGCGAACTTATCGCGTGCGAATTGACAGATCACATACCATAACAGCTAGTAGCGAATTATTCGCAAGGGACGAACTTTGTTATATGTGATACCCGATACTTTTAACAGATCTTTGAATAAAAGGTAACTAATGATTAACTTAGGACTCGAAAGGTGTGTTGGACATTAGCTGTTTTTTTAAATAGGGGAAAAAAACAAAAAAGAAAAACTTCCAAAACCTGTACAATGCGTCAACGAACGATCAAATCACTAAATGATAAAAGACCCAGCTTAGTAGATAAAGTTAATGTACTTTCCATAAGATAATTTCGGCGTGAAAGTGTTGATGGATATTTGTCCATATCCTATTAAATGAGACGAAGATCAAAAAGATTTAACTTTTAGAAATGAAAGGTGGAAGAAAAAATTTAATTACTTCACGATAAAGGTTCAATAGTCATAAACCACCGTAGATTATTGCCGATATGGTTAAATCTTCACCAAATATAAAATATTCAATAAACCATCTGCTCTAAACCAATACAGTGAAGTGCACAAATATGACAGCCGAAACCACAAAATTAACCAAAGTCACTAGGTATTACTAATAACCTATGACTGCAAATGATTTGAAGTGCAGTTGACAATATAACTTAGTTATAAGTAAACGATAGAAGAAACAATAAAAACTAACGAATAGTCATGAAAGCACGACCTTCGCGACTGACAAAAGGCGCTAAGGTGTCTAATCCACGACATTCCACAGGACTATGAAGTCGGATGGCACGCAGATGTGTGTCACGACCATTTTGATGGTTAGCTGAAATGGCAATCTGTAAAAGAAAGGTTCGTAACGGAGATCCATCAGGCCAGTTTAGTGGAATCACTGACCACCCAGTAGGTTCCTGTAGTTCCACCTCTAGAAGTTCGATAAGATCGTGTATAGTATTCCCAACTCGTATGGCCAACCTGGAAAAGGAAATTAAAAAATCGACAATGTAGTTAGTAATGGTAAGATTCATTATTATATCTTATCAATATTAACAATAAAATAAAGGTAAAAACAGATCGGAAGATGTGACGATAAGCAACTAACAGAAAGGCTGTAATAAACGAACACTCACGTGGACATAACCAATTTATTATTTCATATGAAATTACAGAAGGTCCTTGTAAAATATGAAAACCATAGATTAAACGCTTCATTTGCAAATCTTCCGTCAATTGTCCTTTACATTCTCTTTGATTCATCCAATTCACAGTTCCTTGCTATTTCCCTTTCTGTTTTCTTCAATCCAATCTTCTTAGCCTTCTGCTGCCAGTCCTTCCACTTTTGATTGGTGCTACATGCTTCTTATGTCGACAGAAATAAGTAGCATACACGACGTATTGAGTGTGGTAAGGAAGATATTAGGATCGCAGTAATGCTACGTTGACGAAAGCAAGCTCGAGAGGAATAAACGTCCTGGGCTCTGATAGATGAATATAAAACATGTTCCCTTTTATTCACAGTTCGCTGGCTGAGTCGAATATCTAATGCATTACAGTTGTAGATTTCACCAGGGTTCTGATACACTAATTATAGTCTATCGCCCCAAAGCCGAGTTAGAGTCCATGCGAACAACCTGAATTGAAATGCAGATATATCCACCCGAAGATTCCTAATACCCAAATATTGATATCTGAACCTAAGTTATTTAAAATCCTGAGTAAATACACTGTTTACAAATTACTGAGACCGAATATAATTCCTCATCTAGTGTTATTGCATGCACAAATTCCGGTAGCCAATGAATCCCCTGATAAACTGTTAGGAAGGTATTTGAGTGAGATATAGACGCAAACATCTGTTTTTATGTTTATTTTTTTGATAATTTTAGTGACGTATAGAAGTTATCTACTGCATTGACTACGATATTTATTGTCATGAATTATAATGCTCACAATTTATATTATGAACATGCATATTCACAAAAAATATTATGTGAGATCAGATTTTACTTTAAACACTGACCTACTAGGTGTATAACTTTCATCAACTTTGTAATCAGTGTATAAACATAATTTTGAAAGAACCATTTTTCGGGGAAATTGTATATTAACACAATGTGGTTGTGGACCATCTGATTGCCAAAATGTATCAGTAGATTCACTCAACAATTGGTCGATACCATGACCTGGTTTGCATGAAGAAAGACTCCAAACAGCATGATCACATACATCACGAACCTTGTGAAATTGAGAAATAATTTTATGAGTAAGCTACTGATAATCAAAATAAAGTAGTTATAAAAGTAATACACCATAATAATTGACAACTACAGAAGTATCAGAAGGGGTTTTGTGGAGATTGTAGTAATTTCCAATAGTTGAGATCATGAGTTAAATGAAGCTAAACCACTATGGAAAACCTAGAGGCGGGGTCGTGGATGTGCACTGCTGAGGAGTCCCACAATAGGGCGAAACGACCGTTCAGTGTTTCAGGTTTTTCATGGTGGTATAGCTTCAATCGACTCATGATCTCATCTATTGAAATAACTACAGAAGTAACATAACAAGCACAACTACTTTATAACTTTTACAAACCTTTAATTTCTCACTCAATAAAAAAAAATACGCCCTGTTTTAGCTATCAAATAATTTCTTCTTACAGGTAAAAAAAAAGAAAAGATGGTAATTAATTCTCTTTCAATGAATTACATTATACCCGACACCTCAAATAATCGATCTATAAAAGTGATTTACCGAACTTCTATCAATTACTCAATTCCATCCGCAGCCCTTCAAGATTTAGTCCTGATTCGAAGCCCGAAATGGACAACAACGGGTATAAAGATACCATGAGATGACATGGACTGGGAGAAAGGAATGAGAATGGTGACATTCACAAGTTTATGTGCATTCAACCAAACGATAATAGGCGGCACAATATTCCTACAAAAACGTGTACACACCCTAGACAAGATTAAAGGAAGAAGAAGAAGATAGTAGTTAACAACAATCGAACAAGAACAGAGAAAATCAAGGCACAAACCAAATACACAGAAGCAAACAAGAGAGTGAAGAGGAGTATTAAAGCTGACAAGCTGAAATACGTGAAAGACATAGCAGCGACAGCGGAATAAGCTGTAAACGAAGGAAATATGATACAACGAAAAAACTAGCAAGGAAACATAATGAATCAGAGCGACTAGTCAAAAACAAAAAATGCACGCCAGTCACTGAGATTCAAGAACAAGCGCAATAAATAGGTAGAGAACTTTGAAAAACTCTTGAATAGACTAGCCCCAAAGAACCCACCAGACAATGAAACAGCACACACAAGTCTACCTATATATGTCGCACCACCAACAATCAAAATCAGGATGGTCATCAGATAAATAAAGTGTGCGCAAGCAGCAGGACCTGATAATATAGCACCTGAAGCTCTGAAGTCAGACATAGAAGCAACTGCATACGTGCTTCACGCTTTATTCAGGGAGACTTGAGAGGAATAACAAGTGCCACAGATAGACTGGGAAGGACTGTAGAAGCAAATTTCCCAACTTCTAGATCAACAGGCTGGATTCCGTAAGGATTAGTCGTGCACAGACCAAACCGCGATAGTACGGATCATTGTTGAACAACCGGTTGAATGGAACTCGTCACTATACATGAACTCCAATGACCATGAGAAGGAAGTTGACAGCGCGGATAGGAGAACCGTATGAAAACTTCCTCGACACTATGGTGTACCTGAGATTTTCAATTTCATACGACGGACTGCAGTGTAAAGTAAGGCATGCAGGAAAGGTGGCAGATGCATTTCAAGTGAGGATTGGAGTAATGCAAGGCTGCTTACTCTCTCTCTAGCTCCTTCCCTTTCTTCCGATGGTTGACTGGATTACGAAAATCTCTACATCAAAAAGAAAGCACGAAATACAATAGACAGATTAGATACAACTAGACGATTTGAACTTCGTACATAACCCAGCTCTTCTATCTTATACACACGAACAAATACAGGTGAAAACAACTAGCATAGCAGCGATCTGTGCATCAGTAGGCCTCAAAATACACAACAGATAAAGCAAGATCCTGAAATACCACCCAACCTCATCGCACTTAATGCAGAAACAGTGGAAAAGGCGGAAACTCAGCATCATAGAAAAACAAGGAGGAGCTGATACACATGTAAAGGTACGAATTGATAAAGCAAGGGCACCATTCCTACAATTGAAGAACATATGGAACTCAAAACAACTGTCAAACAAAATCAAACTCAGAATCTCCAACACGAACATCACGACAATTCCAGTGTACGAAGCTGAAACTATGAGAATACCACAACCATCGTAAAAAAAGTACAAGTATTTATAAACAGTTGTCTACGCAAGATACCCAAAATCCGTTGACCAGATATCATTAGCAACAACCTACTGTGGGAGCGAACAAACCAACTTTCAGATGAAGAGGAAATCGGGAAATGACGCTGGAAGTGCATAGGACATACATTGCTGAAATCACCAAACTACGTAACGAGACAAGCGCTAACTTGGAATCCTGAAGGGGAAAGGAAAAGAGGAAGCCTAAAGAACACATTACATCGAGAATCAGAGGCAGATATCAAAGGAATGAACAGTGATTGAAATAAACTGGAAAGGAGAGCCCAGGATAGAGTGGGTTGGATAATCCTGGCCGGTGGCCTATGTTTCACGAGAAGTATGTAACTAAATATCGGTTACCCAACTTTTTATTTCACTTAATCCATTAATTGCACCGTATACAAATGATTTTAGGTTAGTTAACAAGGAATAAAAACACTCACTTTTCCATCGCGTTCATCTTTCGTCACATCGAAATTGGATATGGCTTTCAGCTTAAAAGGCATTCATAAATTCTAGAAGATAAAACATATAGTGTTTACGTAACTGTAAGATTAAAAAACCGAATACACAAAAACCAACTAAGAAATAATACTATATTTTACAATAACTTTAATAATGTAAATACAAAATGACATGAACTTTATTTAGATCGCGTTGTAATAGCTCCGACTGCAGAATCACTTCCAGACGAATGACGATGTTTACGAGGCAGTGGACTTGAAGGAGACGAACCCTGAAAAAAAATGTAACAGAAATATAGGGCTTCATAAACAAAAGAAAACATATGTTCTAAAAATACGAATAAAAACATTGATTTCATCCATACTTTATAGGGACACTGAGAGATCTGTAAGAACAGCTTCACGAAAATTGGACATCACGTATACAGACGCGAAATTGTTAGGATGACTCATACTCTCACTATATACAAAATCAAGACAAACACAATTGAAGAACTTTTTGGTACAAAATTGTTTACGAATCTAATAATCTTGATTATTTGGTGAAGCTTGGGTTAGATTGACAAGCGAAAAGGCCGTACTGTTTAAATTTTAATTTCTCAGATAACTACAAAACTAATAAAATCCTGAAATTTGTTACAAGAATGGCGAATGAGGACGAGTCAGCTCAAGATGAGAATTCAAGTGAATTCCTGATTATCTTAAACTAACTTTCTCATCGTTAATAAATATGATTCATGTGTCATGAGAATTTATTTCGTACAGATTTAGTCAAATGGTGATCAAAATATCAACATATGTGAAAAGTTTAAATAAATAACTAAAACTTAAGTTTCTTAATAGCACTTTTTAGCAACAAATTTTTGTACATGAAATTGAATTCAGTATACTAGTGAAGATGAAGTTTTTACAACCGTTTATTTAGGAAGTAAGCTATATGGTGCAATAATTATTTCTGTCCGGGCATCTTGAGTAAATAACTTTACGATCCTATTCAAGTGACTACGAAATATTAGCTATACTAGATTAATGCCAAAAAATACAACTGCAGAGTCCTTACGTAAGAATAATGTGAAACTGATATTTCAAATGTTAATTGTATGTATCTCAAATGATCTTTCGATAGGGTGCAATGTACCTGAGGCACATGAGATAAAAGAGGAAAGAGCGGGGAAGTCTAACGAACTATACGCTATTAAAACTCCTTTAGGGTGGACGTTATTCGGACCTTACAGTGAGATCACAAGAAATATGAGTATTATAAATTATCTATCGTCCAAAGATAAACTAGTAACTAGATTAGATCAATTATATAAATAGCCTAACTTAAAAAAGTTTGCGAACACTGTAGCCCACGTATTACCAGAAGATTTCGGAACTCCAAGGTGCAATGAGTTTCTAGGTCGAATTCGTATGTGTAAGTCGTGGCCCAGACTACTAAGGTACCCTATCAGTCCTTTGACATCTTCGTTGCGAACTCTTGAAAGGGTCATATCGCGCAAATGAGACCATGATACCATCTGAGATGTCGTTGGTACCGTCCGACGCAACATAGGAAGTCTCTTAACTGTCCATACATTTGGGATTCTAAATGATGAAGACGAATCTAAAGAGGAAATTCCTAGTCGGACCTCCTTACAATGAAATGTGGACTGATTATCCAGCATTTTCAATAAAATCGTCTTGGAATCTCCTTCTAAACCCAACCTTCTAGCTAAATCTTCTGTAATAAGCGAAGCGTCTGAGCCACTATTTAGGAAAGCGCAAGTCTGTACTACTTTTTCTCCATTTTTTACCAATAAAGGCACTATTACAAATGCTACTTGTTCCTGTACACACTTAACACTTTCCTCCGTACATAGTTGGGTATTAATGTGGGCATTAATATTACTATCTCTCTACTCTTCCCGCTTCTCATGTAACAGAGTATGGTGTCTCCAGCCACACCCTTCAAAAGCACGTGACCTCGGTGATCGACAATTTTTCGCCGCATGGTTTGCCTTCAGACAAACGTTACATAGCTTATGCCTAAAGACGAATTCTTTCCTTTCTCTAACATTTCTGTCGTTGAACTTCTGGCATTGATCTAAAGAAGGATTGCTTGTGCACTCCAAACAAGATGAACTACATAAGGGGACGTTGCCATCACTAGTACTCGTATATGATATCCTTGATGCATTGTAATTTGCACTAATTTTCCCTTTCGAAACGCCAACATCCCTTTTATCACTATTATTACCGCGGATGACAAGTAGGCCGTATCTGGTATTAGCTATATCTGACTGTTCCTTTACAAATTCGCAGAGGTCCTTGAATGAAGGTTCTTTACCTGTCTTAAGAATTCTACATGCAACTTTAACCCATTCTCTTTGCGAGTGTAGTAGGAGTTTTAAAAACATGCATTCGATAGTCTTTGTAGAATTAAGATTGGATACATAGTTCATCTGTGCGAGTGTTAGCTCACAAGTATGCATCTCACGAGACAGTCTTCTTAAATTACCTGGATCAGTCCCCTTAATAGCATCTTATCAATAAGTGCATGGGCTACCATGTGCTTCTGACCAAATGCTTCCTTGAGAAGCTCTAACGCTTTACGATAGCCTTCTTCTGGCTCGAGCAATGAGCAATGAACATTAGTAGCTTCAGCTTCACCATCACAATACTGGATCAAATAGTTTAACCTAGATCGGAATCCAACGCTCTCATCAAAATTCCGTATGAAGCTCGAATAGTTCATAGGGTTGCCATCAAACCTTATGATCTTTTTCTTTGGTAGGTCTAAACCTATAGATATCATTGTTACCCAGTCCTTTCCAGGAGGAACATCAACTGCATGCGAGGCACATGTAGACTCATACGTTATCGCCTTGTCAACCACAACTTGATTATAATGTTCTCTTCCTTTTTGACGTAACCGTTCTAACTCAATTTCTCTTTCTGTCTGAGCTAAACGTACTTTAGCTAATTCTAACTCTAACAAGGGATCCATTCGGTAGGTATTTCCTCCGAATTGGTTATCACTATGAGTTTCTGAATAGTGGGGAGACAATTCAGGGATATGGTCAGTTTTATGATTCTCCGTAGACATTTAAAGGTACTCAGTGTACGAATTCTTGATGAGATACTGTTCAGAACCAGATCTTGTCGTTACCGGGGTCTCCTCATTCTGATACACTAGCGTCGTTGATTCTTGAGACCCGTGTTTCGTTGGTACGACCGTCTTCGAGGGGTTTGTACTTGTCGACTAAAAATCGCTATCGATGAAAGCTGGTTTCACTCGATCGATGCTGATTACATCTATCTTCCCAGCTTTTTCTACGGTAACCGTCTTCTCTGTCCTCGTAATCAATTTAAATGGAAAGTCGTAATTCGGCTGCAGAGGTGGTTGTACATTATCTCTTCTAATGAATATGTGAGTACAATTATGTAGTTCCTGCGGTATGAACACTCGTCGTTGTTGTAGTCTAGGGGTATTATTTTAAAATCGTTCATGTGCTTCTTCAAGCGTTGCACGTAGTTGGCTACGTCAGTTGGAACACTTTTACATGAAGCGAAAATTTCTCCGGGTAAACGTAGAGTAGTCCCATATATCAACTCAGCTGGACAACACCCCTTTATCCTGTTTAATTGTTGTTTTTAGACCCAACATAACTAGAGGAAGCTTATTAGCCCAATCGTTGTTGACAATGACAGATATGAGGAACGCTATTAACTGCCTATGCAGGTGTTCAACCATTCCGTTTGCGATTGGATGGTAGGATGTCGTTGGAATACGTTTAATTCCGAGGAGATCTATAAGCTGTTGGAAGGGTCGACTTTTAAATTGGGCTCCTCTATCGGTTGTGATAGTTGCTGGTACGCCATTGTAAGAAATCCAATTTTCGACTAGGGCTTTGGCTACAGACTCGACTGAGGCGTCTGTTATCGGTACTGCTATAGGCCATCGTGTAAATCTATCGATGCATGTAAAAATATAGCTGTATCCATTCGAAACTGGCAATGGTCCCACGATATCGATGTGTATATATTCGAATCTAGTGTCTGGGTGAGAAAATAAACCGATTGCGGAGCTAGTATCACGATCTACTTTGAATTTTCGACACTTCCTGCATGCTTTTATCCAGTTACGCACATCGCCATTCATGTTCATTCATAAGAAGCGTTCGCTAATTAGCTTTTATTCCCGGATGCGATATGTTGTGCATACTTTCAAATATTTTCTGCCGCAATCGTTTCGGGATGAATGAGTGCGGTCGGTCTGTCGATAAATGACTTATTACTTTCGTGCTACCGAACTGAACCTCTTCGAATAATAATGATGTGTCATCGGATCTTAGCTCGTTTAATTCGATGTCTCTATCTTTCAAATTTGCCAGACCGTGATAATCGATTCCACTTGTAATGAGCGCGTTTATCGTTGTTTTTGATAGTGCGTCAGCTACTTTGTTTTCTTGGCCTTTAATATATTGTATATCGGATGTGAACTGGGAAATGAATCCCAACTGTCTGGTTTCCCTCGGGGACTAATTATCTTGCTTTGCTCTTAGTGTTTTCGTGAGTGGTTTGTGGTCCGTGTAAACAGTAAAATTTATACCTTCTACCATATGTCGAAATTGTTTTATTGCCAAGTAAATTGCCAGTAATTCTCTCCCGAAAGTACTATATCTAGTTTGAGTAGGATTCAATCTCTTCGAAAAAAATGAAAGCGGTTCCCGCGTGCCATTTACTAACTGTTGTAAAACGGCTTCTGCCGCCACATCCGATGCATCGGTCATGATAGCTAGTGGCGTTTCTTTGTTTAGTGTCTTCTTGGCGTTCTCGAATGCTTGTATCGCCTCTGATAATAAACGGAATGTCCGGGCACGTCCCCGTAACGGGGCCGTTAGTGGTTGCAGTGGTGTCACACAATTCAGAATAAAGCGTTTGTAATAATTTATTAGTCCTAAAAATCGTCGTAACCTCTTCCATGAGTCGGGTAACGGATAATCTCTGATGACATCGACTTCTGCTGAGATTGACGTAATACCTTGAGAAGTTAGTGTGACCTAGGAACTGCAAGGATCTCTTTCCGAACTCACACTTCTCAACGTTTATGGAAATGCCATGTCCCCGTAGTCACGTGAAAAATTGTCGTAGCTGCTGCATATGCTCGTCCATAGTAGTGCTAGCTACTAGTAAATCATCGATGTACGCGTATACGCCCGTCAAACCTCTAAAAGCTTGATCAATGAATCGCTGGAAGGTTTGAGCTGCATTAGTTAATCCAAAGGGCATTCACAAAAACTCAAATAACCCTAATGGAGTGATTACAGCCGTTTTCGGCATATCTTTTGGCGCCACGGGAATGCGGTAATGAGCCCAAACAAGATCAATTTTCAAAAGGTCGTGGCACCTTCCATATCGGTAGTAATGTCGTGGATGTGCGGTACCGGATATCTATCTGCCATAGTTTGCTTGTTAAGGGCTCTATGATCTCCATATGGCCTGATTTCTCCATTCTTTTTGGGAACCATATGCAGCGGGGATGCACAGGGACTATTAGATGGCCTTATGATACCAAGTTCCACCAATTCTTCGAATTCTCGTTTCGCAATATTCAACCTTATTGGATCTAGCCTTTGTGGTCTTGCGTTAGTCGGTTGACCTTTCGTTACAATTAGGTCAACAATGGTTTTGTGACAATTGTAGAAGAATCAGTTTAATTAATACTATGTCTAAAATATTAGCCCCAATAGCGCTTCGTAGCCTATCTACCGGTCGTGTAAGGCGAACCCGAGAAAGTCAGGCTGGTTTCAGATCGCTTGAACGCAGATGTACAGACAAAATATTCACTCTTCGGGAGATTCCGGAACAAAGACACATATTTCGACGCCCGACTATAGTTGCATTACTTAATCTCAAGGCGGCGTTCGACTCTGTACCAAGGTTTCCCAGTGAAAGGTGTAACAAAGATGTAAATTAACCTTGTACAAGCTCTACCCGATCATCATTGGTCGAGTTAGAGCTTATGGAGAACTGTCATCTGAGTTCGTTACTCCAAACGGTATTGTCTACTTCCCCATTTTTGTTTAACTTGATCATAGACATGCTTTTGGAGATAACACACATCATCTGAATTTTCAGGGATTGATCTATCAAGAGATTTACTTGTTGACTTAGAATACGAGATGATATAGTTCTATTTGGTGAAGACGGTAACAAAATGCAGAGTACTCTGACCACCTTAAGCAGCAATGCAGGAATGTTTGGGATGCAGCTCTTTCTCTTCGAATGCGGAATGTTGCTTTAGGATTGGCTTGCGTCATCACCTGAATTAATCATAGGAAGTGAAGTAGTTGAACACATCGACCGCTTTAGTTATCATGGGAGACCGAACTACCACTTACCTTTGTGGGCGATGTTGTTTGGTAAAGGATAGCCAAACCAAAACATGACATTAGTCAATCCAGTCACTTACAATTGGAATTAACCATATCAGTAGGTATAGGCTGCCTGGTTGAGGTCTGTGTGCTTATCGTAACTATCGACTACAGACCTTGAATGACATGACTCAAAACCGTTTGGAATGGCTCAGGTGCATAAATTCTTTGTTTCAATTCTAAGATTATAAGTTTCTCATACCCTGTTTTGTTGTTTTTATCCCACTAATTTACATCTTTTCAAATCGTATCTTCGATGCCTAAACTTTCCTATTATTAGTATAAAAAGCCAAACGGTAGAGAAACAATCTTTTGAGCCACAATAACGCTTAGTAACTATCAAGGTATAAAACACCTAGTGGTGGACTTCGAAAAACGAACGCAAATGGATCAGAGTCACCAAACTCAACTAAATTATTATGTCCTATTACTGATAAATCTTGATTCCATCTTACCTAGCAGTGATTGGAAAACAATCCTAAGTATTATTCACCCCTAATCTCCAAAACAAGACAACTCATACGCAACTCTTTTCCAATCAAAACATTTTTATACGTTTCCATTGATGGTATTTATAAAAATGTCTATGAAAGAAAGGAGTAGTAAAGGCATAGGCCTGTGATAAGGAAGAACACTCAAAAGAATGTTCAGTACTAAGAAAGGCGAGTAAGAAGCGGGTAATACGTGAGCAGAATTGTATTTCTGAACTCCAGTGACTGCTGGATCTACGGTCAGACTAATGCGTAATCCTAATGCAAAGTCTTTATTATTCGAAAAATAGAAGACAAACTATTATGAGAATAAATCCTAACGGTTTTATGCACAGTCCAAAACAAATTCGAATATGGTGATAAGTTTATTTTCAAAAAATCTGTGCTAGAAGGTAAATCCAGCTGCTAGAAGTTCCTTATGTACTTTTTACACAAGCTCATTTCCAAGACTCTTAAAATATATTCTGTTTCTGACCCTTTTGGGTTCATGAGAAGTCAATAGCACTGGAAACACTACGCACGGAACAACATAACACACATTCTCTCAACTGATACTCTTATAACCAAACAAACAAAATTAAATTAGCCAACTCATTTAACAGTTATTTGGGTAAAAGCTACACTCTAATTGAAAGATTTAATGACACTACGCAATCCCCCGGACCGAAGTAGATGGAATGGGGTTTGGACCTTGGTCCTTGTGGCTGAAAATCAAACGACCTAACCATAAAGCCACTGCTTTACTACTGCAAAACAATGAGATTAGAAAACGTAAGATATATGTGCATACGCTTACTTCAGGAGCAGGACGCTTGTTTTGCTTGATGCAAAAACTAGAAGACTGCTTGCTAGCATTCGACTCCTCATCTTTAAGCACACATGAAGCAGGATGTAAAGGACTAGTAGTTGGGGCAGTCGACACTACAATAGATTGCTGTAAGGAACGCGTAGTCTGTGGAGGAGTTAGATTCAATAAAGGCAGAGATGGGAATCCTGGAATATCCTCAGCCATAATAGACCAAAGAGGTTGAAGCTGCAAAGTTTCAAGAGATTTATATGGAAAATCAATCTTTTGGCAAGGTCAGGTTATTAATTATAACTAATTATCACCAACAAAAGGCTCTCAAAAAGTTCACAAAACATGGAGTCATGACCAGCAATATGACAAACAAGAGGATAGCACAACCACAAAAATAAATCAATAGGACAATGACAAAACAAACACTCGTCTTTGATGAAGAAAAAGAATACTTATGACTTCACACAATCACAATACAACGGTTATCTGATCTATGGAACAAAGTGCACACTTCAAATGAGCAAAACAATCGTGATATAAAAATCAAGAATAAATCAGAAACCAGGTACAGACCTGCCATACATATTGTAGGAGGATTTGACTATAAATCCTGGTAGTTGAAAATATGGAACAGGTGCTCGGTTTAACTCAAACTAGTATTATTGTGACCTTTCACATCTAGATATTATTACGGATTTTGCAATGTGACAATATTACGAAACTTAAGTCTATGCCCATTAACCTGGTACAAAACTATAGCATAATACAGTAAATACCGTGATAACTACCCATATAATTGTCGCTTCTTGAGAAGTAAATGCTCTTTTCAAAGTTTCAACTCCTTTGTTTTTCCCTGTAACTGCCATCGTTAAAGTGTTGCTGTGTAAGAATCGTCCACTTTATCTAATCGTATAGACCTGTTCTCACATTGAAGGTATTTTCCGATCGTTGCAATCAAATTATACAAATCATAACTTCGCGAAAAACGAAATATGACAACTATTTTCGAAAATTTGTCTTGCAGATACATCTAATAGCAAAGCATTTTATACGTACTGATTTTTAATAACAGAAAGATATCAATATGTGTTCGGCAAATGAAAAGCACAGTATTCCAGTTTATCCGTAATTTCGAAAAGGAAAATTTCTGATTACAATCATTAAAAAATCCTGATTTCAATATGCTATTACTAAGTTGCTCAACAAAAGAGAACTGAAAACTTGTTGAATACATAATTTTACGGGAAATAGAGTGAACTGATGTAAAGAATAGACAAATATTACTTGAAGCTACTTGAAGTGACACAGAGTTGTGAATGTTAAAGGTTGCAAATAAAATTACTATCTATTAGAACTACCAAAGTCGGTAAAATACTGTGCGCAAAAATAGCATTAAGATAAAATAATAGAAAATGCCATCCAACACTAATCATAAACTATTTACAATTCGAGGATGACATTATAACCAATTATATACCAAAAAGGTTTTGATTAAACCGCATAGCCTCGTTGTTACTTATTTGTTAGATCACCCTGAACCATTTTTGATGTAACTAACCAGTAGAAACAATTAAAACCGGACATATTTGTCTTATTTAATGAGACTTAAACACCAGAAAGGATTTAAAATCCAAAATTTTCAAGATGAACCTAGATGTTAGAGCTAATGTATACATCATGCCATGAACGTTAAGATATAACATATTCGGAGTCGTGATTACCACAAAATGCTAAACTCTCAGAAACGACAAAAGATGGTCAGTGGTACTTTCAGAGTTCGATAGTCTGAAATGACGAGATAAAATCATGTATTCACTCCTGATGTAATACATAATCTAATATGACTAAATGAAAACACGTCTAGGAAATATATATTTCCCTGGAAAAATAAGTAACAACCGGATGTACCAAAGCAAACTAAAAGGACATCAAATATTATCTTACTCAATCTTTACATCCTCTCCCTATAAAAGAATAACTAGAAAAGCTATGATGATATTTTAAGGAACTAACGCATTTTTATATGATTTATACTAACAAGCTAAAAGGAAACATGAAAACTTTATACAATAGCCACAAAATAAAATACACAATACTGAAGTAAGTATCCAACTGAAACAAATGAAGGAATGGGTAAGGAATAAGGTAGAACTAGATAGACATCTGAAACCATTTTCGTCATGATGGGTTTATTCCCTAAGTTACAGTCGACGTAGAGCCTGATACAAATGTGTGTTAGCCCAATTGACCATACTATACCAAGACAGAGATGAAATAAAAATATTTGAAAAAACAGTGAAGGGATCAAAATGATGCAGTATCAATGAAAATGACTAAATACTGGGAATGATTCGAGAAGGGATGAAGAGGTATACAAGAAGAGATAATGTAAGAGCTAACAAGAATAACTGCGTCTTAACTACTACGTTAGATTCTGAGTCATGTTATCCAGAATTTACAACCACTGGTCGAAAATATCACGCATACTCCAACTACCCAATCGGACAGCTAGTTTTAGTTTTTTTAATATGCAATTCCTCACTATGACCGCTTGACAGTAAATGATAAAGATCCACCACTTACTTCACTAATGACGTCATGATACATCTCCCCAGCCATTCGGTGGACTTCGTGATTTTGACTATTGTACATTCTTGCATTCATAAACATTAGCAAAAGATCACGAATGAAACGTCTTGCGATCTCAATGATAACTCGATAAGAAGAAACAGATGGATTTAGAGCAGAAGGCTGCTGAGAACTGATCAAGTAACTGAGTGACGACTCCATACGGCGCCTAAGGGACGTTAAGTCCACTGGCTCATAAACAACAGTACTGTACCCGGGAGCTATATCTTCAGTTACAGGATGCATAAACACATAAGCATGACGATGGCTGTACACCGTAGAAAGTGCTGACAGAAGAGATCTTCTCCATCGTCGAGCCACACAAACTGATGACTGAGATGTATCTGTAAGTTCATCGTTATTGAGATTGGTAGATATTGAGGGACTGAGAGCTATTAAATTTGAATATGAAAACGAATGAGTCATTATTAGTAAACGATAAAAGAGACATCAGCGTAAGTCAATAAAACCCTCCTGAGATACAAATCTCTCATAATGAGTACAAGATACAAAATTGGATAAATTATGAGTGTATCAGTGTATTGACTAAATAAAATTTATAACAATGAAATAAAATAATACCTGAAGTGAACTCTCCCACTTGGTTTTGATAAACAGGAGCAGGAGTCGATATCTTCCTCTTTGTATGATTATGTTTTCGGTTCAGATTAACGGCTTTAAAGGATGGTGATTGAGTTTCCGCAAGACTTAGTGCAGGACTTGAATTAAGGCTCTGAGTAAAGTGTGGAGAAGCCAGTGTTTCTGAGTCACTTACAAGAGCGGAACTACTAGGAGTAATTGGTTCATCCAGGATCTCCAAACACTTGGAAGGGCTTGTTTGTATTCTTATTTTGCTTGAGTCACTATCTAAGTTATTAAGCTGTTCAGATGCTCTGGGTGACTCTTCGACTTTGACTTCTTGATTATGGCTAGTTGTAACCTTCAAAAGTGAATACGCAAGAAATCGAAATACAAATTACCATAGCGTTTATTCCTAAACTTTCAACAAGTTAAATTATATGTGAACATAATCGGTGTGTTTATTTATTAATGTATTTCATAGTATTCGCAACTTCGTAAAAATATGTACATGAAACAAATGTCACATTATTGATTCTAATCAAGAACAGCAAGTTGAAGCTGATAATAAACATGTTACAAAACGATTTTGGAATGAGTGATAAGCTAACGTAATACACACTTTTGAAAGGTAAAGAAGTGATCTAAATTCTTCAGTACATTATGCTTATATCTAGTTATATATCGCATGTCGATGAAACTAAACACTTTGATGTAAAATACCACTAAAAATAGATACACAAAAAGAATGAATAACTTTGAAGTAAGCAATAATTCTGGTGGCTCTTCGGTATTTATGCAGGATATACTATCAAATCACAATAAACCACAAGAAAAAACAGGAACGTTTGTATATGTATACCTCTGAGTGAGTCTGGATGGATGATGTAGTATCTAGACTTGAGATTTCATCATCATGTCCTTCGAAACCCAGTCTTTGTGAAATAATAGCTATCAGTAAAATGAGATAAAATAAAAGTCAAAGAAAATAGTGAAAGTGATTTGTAAAATAAATGGGTAGAAGTCTAGGACATGCTTACAGAAACCATACTTACCCCAAAGCTAAAGAGCATAATAAGTAGTTCCTCAAGTTTTAGTAGAGACATTGCTCAACATCTCTTCTCAGTTCTCGTATTAACTTCCGCTTGTTAAGTTACTCTAAAGGTCAATTATTGATCCCACAAGTCCTGGGTTCGATCCTTGGTGTAGTTGTGGGTGTATATTCCACACGAATCCGATATTAAAAAAGAAATGTTCAGTACCTCCTGGTATTTTATGTCATCTCAACAAGTATTCGTCTGACAGAGAACACCTATAAATATCCTGATGAAAACATCTGGTGAACACATAATGTAGGTGTATCAAGTGGGTTAATTTGGGTGATCCACTCGTGTTCTCAAAGACTTGTGACTCGCAAGTAATCTCAAAAGAAATGCAACAGTGCCGACTATTCAGCTATAATCACCTCAAAAATGGGATACTACACATAAAGCACTACATTAAAAATACTTGCCGATTATTGTAAGCGACAACTTAGAACGATAGCATATTGTGATGTGGTCAGTTTCAAAACGCTTTCCTAACACCCTGCGTCCAACCTCACTATTACTTACCCAGTGATCCCAGCAGATGGAAGCAATATTTCCAAGGCATCTGAGGTCGAACACTAGTAACCTACGTGTATCTTTTACCCTTAATGGCCGTTTCGCAGGCATAAAGTAGAACAGGACGAACAGCTGCGCAGTATACTCGTCCCTTAATTGACAGATGGGTATCTTGCCTTCGCCATAAGTGATGTAAGTTAAGAAAAGCTAGACGAGCTTCTCGAGTCCGTGTTGAAATTTCGTCAGACACCAACCCATTAGGGTTGATCAGACTTCCAAGATAAATGTTGTCGACATGTTCGACTACTTCACTCCCTATCCTTAGTTCAGGTGTTGACGCAGGCCAGTCCTGGAACAACAACTTTCATTTAGAGAGGAAGAAATGCATCCCAAATATCCTAGCACTGTTGCTCAGTGCTAACGAAATACAGAATTTTATCAGTGTCCTCACCAAGCAGGACTATGTCATCTGCGTATTCTATGTTGATAAGTGCACCTCCTGAAAGGAGATCAATCCCCGATAATTCAGTCGACAAAAACGTTACATCTATCACTAAGTCCATGATGGAATTAAACAAAAATGGAGACAATAAACAGTCTTTTCGGACACCTCTTGACGTTGCAAAATTAAATGACAGGCCGCCAAGAGCTTTGACTCGACAGGTAGTGTTCGAGTGAAGAGCCCTCGTAAGGTTTAAACACTTCTGAGGTATGCCTTTTAGTGACAGACACTGTCACAGCACCTCCTGGTCTACAGAGCCAAATGCTGTTTCTAAGTCAAGAAGACCACCATTGTCGGACGCCGATAAGCACGCCTGTGTTCTAGAACCTGACGAATGGTGAATATGTGGTCGATGCAGCCACAACCAGATTTGAAGCCAGCCTGATTTTCTCGTGTTTGCAGTTCACGAATCTTTTTTAGGCGCCCAGTAATTATTTAGGCTAGTATTGTAGATGCCATGTTAGTTAAACTAATCCCTCTATGGTTATCACAGGATGACTTTGACGCCCTTCTCACACATATTGAGACCAATCAGATGTGATTATGTCCAACTCTCAAATTTTAGCTAAAATATTAGTCAACATAACCTCTAGAACTGGACCACCATTCTTTAAGACCTCTGTAGTTAATCCATCTAGAGCAGCTGCTCTTTCTCGTTTCAGAATAGCTATAGCCTTTTGAACTTCAGTGAAGTTGGAAGGCCTACTTCAATGTTTCATTAAGGCTGTTTGGAAATGGTGGGTAGTTGTAGAGTAGCTGAAGGCCAGCCGAACTGCCCCTTAAAGTGTTCCGTTTATCATTCTAAACGTCTGGGCTGAAAGTAGATAAGAGCGTCAACTTTTTTCCGAGTCGTTTCACTTACACTTGACTTCTTAATTCGGGTTTCTTTTATTAGTCTGAAAAGCTATCTGGTGTTACCTAAAGCCGCTGCCTTTTATATCTCTTTTGTTTTCGTTACCCACTACTGCTCACGGTCGTTCCTTAGACCAATACAGTATATTCAAAAAATTGTCAAGTCTGCATGCATTTTATAATATCTTACAAGAGAATAAAGGGTATGGCTCTTCATGATGGGAAACAATATGCTTGGTTGGTTTCGCACTCTTTCACATATCTTAAGAATGATCACTTTCAATCTCATCATTAGGTTTAAATGTCATATATGGATAGACTCAGCGCAATTCTATTTCTTTCACTCAATAGTTAATGGGTGAAAGTTTTGAAAAAGACAAACAACTGGTTCCTTCGATTAATGCACTTAGGAAACTGGACTTTACAGGAAATGAATTACTACGATGCATATCTTTAGTTAAAAATTGAAGGCCAGGTATTCATACCACTGCATAAATTAGTGCTTTAGTCCAAATATGTTTGTAAAGGACTTTGAGAGGGAATCACAAAGATGGGTAGTGTTTTAAAAAGACAACAGAGACTCCGACACATAAGCAATAGAACTCAAAAGTAGGTGGCAGGAGATATTGCTCTAGTGTTTTTTGATAGGACTTGTACATAAACCCCATGTTTCTACGGGAAAAATGCATTCTTAACGAGTATTCTTGATAAGTGTTACCTTGAGCACGTATGAAGTTGGCTAATGATGATTCCTGAATGTAATCACACCTCTCTTCGAATAGCCCATAAATAAAAGGGGTTCCGACAGGAATCCAGATACCACCATTCTGGTCAATTGTTTCTTTCTCAATTTTAGTATTTGGACGTTGTAGTGTAGTGGGAAGCTTCTTGACAGTTCGGTCATTTTCCTCTGAAACAGGAGACAACGGTTCCATATTTAAACAACGACCTATTTTGTCCGGAATCCCGAGTGCACGACATCTTTTTCTATAGCTGAAGAGAAATAAATATTAGTAAAGAGAGCTCACGTCAGTAACCTGTCTGGAGGTATTTCAGAATATCGGCCTTGTCGCAACTTTTCTGCATCCTCTTCCTCAATCCTAAGAGTTGACAATAAACCAGCATTTAAGTCTCACTTCATAGCCCGCAGGATCTCCAACCGAGCAGCATGCAACTGCTCACGTCTCAACGTAGTATAATGATCTAGTGAAATGTTTAAGAGTTGGCTCTCTGTTAAATCGCCTGGATTTCTAGAGAACTTTCAATCAAGCACAAGAGAATAATACCTTTGACGTGCGGATGCAATAATATATTTATATTGAAGCGAACAACTCTGTTTATAACCAATGAATTCAAATATATTAATTACCTGTTTTGAGAGATCCTGTACATTTTCATCTTTCAAGAACGTCTTGCAAGACGTTCTTAATGACTCACTGACAAGGTCCCAGTTTTTTCCATGTGTGAGAACAGCCCGAAGTAGGTAACAATTAGCACCCACAGCCCAATTCATTTGTCATATCTACTTACTGCTCTCATGTTAGCCAACCTTGAAAACGAATCGGGTACCTGTTAACAAAACATTCATGATCCAATTTCATGACTTTGTTAACGGGCATTAAAAGTTGTTTGACCAGTAGTATGATTTTCTCTTAGGATTCAGCTTTAAACAGTGAATCTGATGCTTCTTGTTGGGGAAGGTTGTTTCAATCAGTAACACCCTGTAGGATACAAATTTTACTGGGTAAAATTCTGCACCTTCAGTCTTCAGTATTCAGTAGTAAGGATAGTATGTTGGCGAACCTGTGTTAATCCTGACAGATTGCTTTACAGTGAAGGTCCAGCCTCTCTTTGAAAATATTCACTGATGGGGCTGATACCACTTGTTCGGGTAAGGCGTTTTAATCATTGACTACTCGATGAGAAAAACGGGACCCCACTTTAAGTTCATTAGATCGCGGTTTGTGAACCATCTTCATATGACCTCGGAAATTGTTAGTGCTGGAGGGAGCAAAAAGATAAGACATATTAACACCTAAATCATAATAAAAGATACGAAATGCCAGTATAAAGTCACCACGCGTCCCACGATACGACAAGAGGTAAAGGTTTAGGCGTTCTAAACGCTCATCGTAAGGGAGTCTAGAAAGACCCTTCACTAATTTCGTCACCACACGCTGCTTGGATACAGTACTCCAAATGCAGCCTAACATATATGGGATATAAAGTTCAAAACATTTCCTCGTCAAAAGATTTGAACGCTCGGCGAAGTGACCATAACGCACGAAAACCTTTGACAGCGGCTGCTTCGCAATGCGTAGTTGTTTTTAAATCATGACGCATTACTACAACCAAGTCTTTATGTTCTTGAGCACGTGGGAGAGGTTCACCCTCAATAGTATGACGGTAACTATTGCCGTGACCGATGTGCATTAGCGCACTCTTCCTAGCATTTATTTCTAAGCCCCACTCTCGAGCCCATCTAACTAAATCATCTAAGTCAGCTTGAAGATCCAGATGATCAGCCTCACTTTTTATTGTTCTCCAGGTTTTTACATCATCTGCAAACAATAATGTCGACGACCTAGGCAACAGCGGTAACTCATTAACATAGAGAAGGAAGGGCAGAGGGCCTAGGATGGTGCCTTAGGGTACATCACTTTTGACCGGCTTCCAATCGGATAGCGTCCCGTTGACCCTCACTCTCTGTTTGCGGTCACAAAAGAAGTTTCCTATCCACTCATGTACAGTACCTATTATTCCGAAGCTTGAGAGCTTCTACATAAGTCCGAAGTGTGAAACCTTGTTAAATGCTTTGCTAAAATCTATGAATATCACATCGACAGACAGACCGTTATCTAGGGCCGCTATCCGATCCTCCTTCGCAATAAGCAAGTTAGTCAAGCATGAACGCTTGTTACGAAGTCCGTGTTGCTCAGGAGCTAACAGATTGTGTAAATCTATGTGGCTTAGCAACCTAACCCGAATTATCTTTTCAAGTAACTTGACGACTATACTAGTTAGACTAACAGGCCGGTAGTTAGATACTATCTGTCTCTGACCATCCTTAAATAAAGGAAAGACTAGCGTCCTTCCAGTCTCTAGGGAGTTGAAGGAGTGAAAGGGACATGTTGAAGAGTGTCGCGAGCAGTTTTGAAATAATGTCCGCAAGAGATGACAGCAACCGTGGATGTAACCCGTCAGAGCCCGACATCTTACCAGGTTTGAGGTTCGTTACCAACGGAATGACGGTTTCCTCTGTCACCTGTACAGATTCGATGGTTGGTATCTCGGTGTGAGTGACACAAGGATTTGTTACAATAAACGTAGAGTAGACTTCGCTAAAATAGTTTGAAAAAGTCTCAGCTTTTGCCCGATCTGATTCAGCTAGTAAATCTGAATTTTCGTGTATCAGTAAAGGGGTAATACCATCACTACGTTTCATTCGCCGTTTAACATACGAAAACAATCGTTTCGGACAAGTACGGCTATCATATACCAAGTGTCGTTCGTAAGTTGTACGGGAATTAGCTATGATTTTCTTACAAATATTCCGGAATTTTCGGTACACACGCTTAAATGATGCGTGACCCGTCATCAAGAATAAGTCTCAGAAGTGTTTCCTACGCTTAAACAGCTTCCGGGTTTCCTTATTCATCCATGGAGGGCAACGTGATAGCTTACGTGCTGACCATGGGATAAACGGCGACGTTACGGACTCGAGTGTAGCCTTAAACGTATTCCATTCGTCTTCGATCAATCCATCCACGTCGACCGACCAATCAGCCGAGATAGCACAGTTTCTGATTTTCGGAATATTAGCTCGTCAGATATTGGGACGGGGTGGAGCAGATACAAATCGTATACCATGTGTCTTAAAGTGAAGTACAACGTGATCACTGTTCACTGGTGGGGGAGGGTGCTGAATATCAAAGACATCCTCACAGTGGTGGGTGAGGGCGAGGTCCAGCAGTGACGGATCATGTTGCAAATCAATATGTGTCGGTTTTGTGATGCATTATATAAGTGCACACTGAATAACGGTTGATAAAAGGTCGCTTTCGAAACCACCACCTGGAGCTGTAATCTCTATCTAGTTGATAGGCGGTGCGTTGAAGTCCCCAATGATGAGACAGTATTCTTATCACAGATTCCACTAACTGCAGATCGTGTGCATGTCTTTTGGCAGGGTCATTGTCTTTTGACTGGTCTAGATTCCAAATAATTAAACTATGAAGGGGTTCAGCTCTTTTTGAAATCGTGTTCACGGCTTTCGACCGTGATGTTAGATCCTGCATATTAACCACTGGCATCTTACCATTAGTTTTTATTGTAACAGGGTAATGGAAGTCGAGCGAGTTACTCACAACAATGTTTGACGAGGCTTTACTTTGGGAATTCAATGGAGTAGTCTGAGCGTCCACCAAGGACTTCGACATTGCCAAGATGGATTAAATATGTAAGTAAGATTTCTTGATGAAACCCTGACTTGTACTGGTACGGTACGCGTGAACACATCTGTGCCTCACTTTGACATCACAAGCCCTCCATGTGTCTAAACCATATTAGTCTCTAAGATTAGTTTCCCTTTCTTCTTCGCAGTTGCATTAGGTGTGTCTATGTAGCTGTATGACCCTCCTTACATTTTCTTTGAAGTAAACAGATAACCCACTGGACCTACCGATACCACCCGACCATAGTATGTCTCACCAAACCAATGTTGTATATTACAGATCATGCCCATGAAAATGGCATGTATCTGCTACAGAAGAAACATACATCGTTTTACGGATGCAAAATATGTGGCTTATCAAAGTAACAATTAAAGCGGTGTTATGGAAATTTCCGCGTATGTTTGGAGTGCGGGGACAAAGGTCTTTTAACGCCAATTATCAACTATACATTTACATTTTACGTCAGTTCCGTCAGAAATGACAACACTACAATGGTTAAAATTGACTATAGTTGTATATTAGAAACCTATATAGATTCAAAAATAATTTGAGGTAGTATTGCCTCTACTTGCACTTACTCAACAACAACCAGGCATCCTTGTTTATCAATATTTTGTGAAGTGGCAGGCCTGAATTCGCTCAAAAATTGAAACAAACCCCTATCTATGACTCGATACATTGTGGATTTTACGTCAGTTATTAACTATAAATTTACATTTTAATATTTCGAATTATGTGCAAGTCAGTTTTTAAAATGATGAATCATGCCTGTCAAAATGTTTATTATACTCTGACCATGAAAAAGAAAATGTTCCACGCACTCAGGGAGTTGCTCTGATGCTGGGCAAAGAACCACGTAAAGTACTCATAAGATGTGAGTCACATGGACCCAGAATCATCATATTATTTTTCATAACAACGAAGGATAGAATCACAATAAATGTTATTTCGTGGTATTCCAAAGAAGCAGTGCATAACTGGGAAACAGCAATACAGAAGTTCAATACAAGCTTTCTATTCAAAAATGCTTTTAAAACAATTACATCCTATATCAACAAAAACACCAAGTCCAAACTGCGAAAACTAATAGGATGTACCGTATATCAAAATACTTCAGTGCCATGCACCAGATATACTCTGTATTTGAAGGGGTGTAAAGTCAACACAACAAACATAAACAGGCAGAGGGAAGTACTGCGCTCACTGCTGCATCTAAAGCCCAGACCTTATGTCGTCTCATTGAAAAACGCATAAGAAAGAACGCATATCACAGAATTCACTCCTTACTACCGTCATATTAAAGCTGTTAAATGAATGGTTTCCCCACGATGAGAATACATCTCATGCCCCAGATATCAGCATAAAGTGCAGCAGTAAAAATTATCTTAGTATCTTAACTTTGATCTTGAGAGAATACATACTGCCATCAAAAACCTTAAGCCAAGTGCGAGTTCTGGTGCCGATGGCATCTAATCAATCCTTTATAAAATGTCAGGACCGGGCATACAGACTCTGTGACACAAAATATTCACACCTTTAGAGGAAGGTACACATCCCGAAACCTAGAATGTAAAGTATGCAGTCCCCAAACACAAACCTTGACCAAGAAACCTGATCGAAAACTACAGACCTATGAATATCACTCCAGTTAAAACACATAATGGAAAAAGTGATAAAAATCCAACTATCTGATCACCTACCTAAGAAAGATCTAGTAGACCCGTTATAACACGGTTTCATCGGAACAAGGTCCTGCAACACATGCCTGGTAGACCTCGTTAACGAGATTACTCGCATACGTGACCAAAAGAAACTAGTGGTTATACTAGATTTCGATATCAAGAAAGCTTTTGATAAAGTACTTCATAACCTCCTAATCAGCAGACTTTAGTCACGTGGAGTCACGAACCCCCTATTGTAATGGATCAAGTCTTTTCTCACAAACAGGCACCAAATAACCAAGATTAACTCTACAACATCTACACCGACCAATAACCAGCGGTGTAGTCCAGAGTGGTGTCTTGGGTCCACTGCCTTTTACAATCTATATCAACAAGATATGTAAGTGCTTTAGCACAGGCAAGACTTACCTCTGAGCTGATGA